TTCCCGAGCCCGAGAGCAAGGTCGAAGCGGTGTTCCTGGTCGGTAGCAACGTCGAGCGCAAAGTCTCTATAGCCCTGACCTTCCAAGAATCGGGCAATTTTGTTCATCTGATCTTTTGGAATATCCTCCAACAATTCCGTAGCAGAGTCCATGTCACCTCGCAAGACAAGGGTTTGATACTCGACAACAGAAAGAGATAGCGCAAAGGAGACTGTTGTGAGTTCTTTATCGGTAAGATAAATTCGCCCATCCCGGGGGAGATATCCAAGGAGGTACATTGGTTGATCGAAGTGTGAAATCGTGTAGGTTTGATCACCGACAAGGTAGTTCAATCGGTTTGTCGAGTTTGTGTAAATGAAACAGTCCCCAACCCATTCACCAGTGCGAACGGTTTCATTAACATCCGTTACCACCTCAAAGGCAGCCTCAACGCCGTCTTCATCAGCCTGTCCTGCATTGAGTCCCGCAATGTAATCTTCTCTTGAAAAACGAAGGACGTAAAAGGTATCTTCACATGCAAGGGTAACCAGTTCTCCTGATTCGGACCAGTACACCTAAAGACATTGTTAGTAGTGTGAAATAATAAACGGAGGGTTTTATTTGAAGGCGACTGACAGCTCTAGGCTCGACTTCTATCCTGCGAACGAGATTACCAGTTTCCCAGTCAAACATGCCAATGCCACCTTGACCCTTGACGCCGAGGAGGACGCCGGAACTTAGACCCTCAGCGTGAAAACCAACATCAAGCCCGCCACTCTTCTCCTTGAAGTTTCGGAATACCTTAACGCTGGTTGACGATTCTCGGATGGCGTAGTCGTTGCTGTTGTCCTTAGATCCCCAAGCAAAATCCAACGCCTGCCCAAATGCCTTGTTTCTCCAGGCAAGAGCAGTGTAGATAATATATTCGCCATCTCCGCAAACGGAGACAAATCTTCCATTGGGGGAATGGGCCAGTGTCTGAGGGTATATTTCACAGGAGCCGAGATCCTTAGTTGGCAGGGAGAGAGGTGCACCATCTTTGAGAGTTGCATCACCGCCCTTGATGACAGTAGAGACGACTTCATTGTGCCTAGCCCAGACAATTTTACCAGATCCATCCATAGATACGGCAGGCTCTTCTCTACCCATCTTAACCACCACAGCTCCATCGTCAAATCCCATGGCAATCCCCTGCTTACCCCGTTGGTAGCTAACACACCAGGCTCTTTCCAGACCATAACTGAGAGATTGTTCTAGCCTATAAGTGTTTGCGTGCCAGAGCTTGATAGTTCCATCTTCAGAACCAGATATAATGATCGGAAGCTCTGGATGATAACAAGCGAAAGATACGTTGCTAGTGTGTCCTTCCAAGGTAGCAATCAATGCCTTTGTGGTGTAATCCCAGATTTTCACAGTCTTGTCATCGGAAGTTGTGAGAAGATACGGCTTATCGGCCTGTGGATAATACTCGACGTGGTTTACACCCTTGGTCTCGTGCGCTTCAAGGGTATAGTTGGGGTTAGGTGAGCCCAAGCTCCATATCTTGACGGTTCTATCGAGACACGCTGAAGCAAACGTGTTGGTGTGCTTGGGATTGATGGCAAGACCCATAACATAATGGCTATGGCCTTCGAATACCTGCACACACTTCCATGATTTGTCCCAATCCCACAATTTGATTGTCATATCATCTGAAGCGGTCAACACAAACGGGTGGGTTGGATGAACGGCGATCGATCGAATGTAGTCTGGGTGAGCTTCAAAGGAAATGATCTTCTCCGAGGTATTGTAATTGTATACTCGCAGTTGGAAGTCATCTGAGCCGCAGACAATCCAGTTCTTTCGCGCAATGAACCGACCAGCCCTTACAGGGACATCAGTAAGCTCGAATGTTTTGATAATTGACTAATGCAATAATCAGGTATTAGCAGCCTGCGTGAGATGGTTGTGGTGAAATCAGAGGGACGCTTACCTGGGTCTCATAAGACCAGATGTAGACATGGCCTAAACATAGAATATCAGCAACTGGGGCGTATTACTACTATACCAGTGCAATGCAACAGCATACCGCTATATAATGTCGTCAGAATCTATAGCAATCATTAGTTAGAAACAAGCCATCCCACTCTATAGGTTTATATGCAGGCTTACCCATGGCTCTGTGGGGTGGAAGTCAATCCCCTTGACTCGCTCAGAGCGAGCAAAGAGTTGTCGCTATTAACTGATGTCAGCAAGGACCTTGATCCCTCAAGCGAAGTGGCATAATAATGAAGAGAGAGAGAGTATTACTTTGACGTCGAACCGCATGTTGGTGGGTAACGGGGGGGATGGCGGCTCAGGGCCGCTAGACTGGTAGCTCTTAACGAATAACAAATTAATACAAGAAAAAGACCGTTAAGAGAACCCGGTATTCCCCTATATTCAGCGCAGACAAGAAGTGATCAATTGGTGGCTCGCGTTCATCTGGCCAGTGAAGCAACTTGTCCACATAATCGCTATCGAGAGGCGTGTCTAATATTAAACGGCAGTGTTTCCACCAGCTGTCCTAATCGGGCTAGCGTCGACAGGCGCTTTGCCCCAAGAACTTCTGGCTATTTTATCAAAATATTCAAACTCCGCGCAAGAAAAGATACTTTTCCAGTTGATATATGTTAACTATTTTACCCAAGGGGCATCCTATGTCTATTCCCTTGGATTTCCCAGTTCTATGCGGAGTCAAATATACGTTGTATTTCAAGAAAAGTAGAGCAGCTACAAATATTACCAGCGGCAAATTTCATATCGCTAGACAATATATACATAGTATGAAGATACTGTTGGAGACTGGATGGGAAGGCGTCTATTGTATTGTTTTAATATGTGCGCAAACAAGCGTCACAATATCACAGTTGGTATAGTATACAAGCAAGGAAAATATCACGGCGCACAAATAAATCCTAGAGTCTAGGTTATTAAAAACAACATGAGCCTCCTCAATTGTGGTACCGTGGAATCGCAGCATCTATAAATTATCATGAGCTGGATTCAGTTCTTTCAAAGTAAGTCCACTGGCCAGGCTTGGGCTTTTCCACGAGTTCCTCCCAGCTATGGTAAAGGTCAGCAAATGTAAGTGGACATATGTGACACAGTTTGAGAACTTACACTTTGCTCTTGACCATCTCATCAACAAGCCTGAGTTCTCCCTCGGCAACCTGGATCACTTCCTCTATCAATCCACCACCAATCTTGTTTTCAATCTCGGAAATCCTAATGTGAATTTCGTTAGCATCAGTGTAAGACCTAGGTAGGTAGGACTAAACGTACTGTGCAGCCTCCAGAGCTGGCTCTGCCTCCCAATGGATAGTGGGAGTCGTCTGGCGGGCAGCTTCTGCTTCTGATTCCTTTATACGCTCCTCCATCTCCTCTTCGCTAAGGTATGCTCCCTCCTGCTGCACTTTAGAGGTATCTCCGCCCCAAAGCTCGTCTTCCTTCGCAATATTCTCCTCTTCAAGCTGGAATGCAGCGTATGTACCATCCTCCCGTAGAGCAGCCTTGTATTTGTCTGGGTTCTCAGCAACAAGGGCTCTTACTCGTTGCAGCCAGGCGTCGAACCCCGGTGGCTTCGTAGACTGTACAACATCCAATCGGTGCTTTGTAAGGGCCTCTGTGGATTTGCGATATACAGATGATTCCGGGATCGCCTTTAGTTTCTGGAGAGTTGTGGTATAGAGGTAGATGAGTGTTGGTCGAGGACTAGGGTGGGTTGAAAGGCCAGTAAGACCGGTCGGCGTGAACGGTTCCAGATATCTTGCTGGCTTGACATTAGCCAAAAGTCGTAGAGTCGCCCTCATGATGTGCTAAAAGAGCGATTCCTGCAAGCGCCGTGATTCAATTGCTGCGTCGAGCGATGCAATAGATAGAAGCGTCCTTTCGCCGTCGTCGCTGACCTTTCTACGCAAGTCGTTTCGCCCGCGTGGACTTGCCAACTCCGGCACGTCGGAAGCGGAAGAACTAGCCTGCCGGAAACCGCTTATGTCATCCCCTCTCGACGCAGGCTAGGGAAATCATCAGGGGAAGAAAAGAAGAACAAGAGACAAGCTGACGTTGACGCGGACGAGAGTCAACAGCGCAGATTCTTCGCCCACAAAACGCCGTGGATGTCCAGGAGAACAAGGCAGCTCAGCGGGCACGAAACATAACGACGACCCTTTCCAGCTTGCAAATATCAAGTGCCCCGGGGGCAGATTTCAACCTCGCCGTCTAACCTCTTCTACCGCAAAAGAAACGAATCGTGTGTTAGAGCCTCGAGATCTCCTACCCAGGCCTTGTGCCTTTCAAGTCAAATTTGGAAGATATCGCCGGTATTGGCCTGTGTGGCCCTATTAATTCATCACAATGAGACGCTCACTATTCTTCCTGTCCCTTCTTGCGGCATCCATATCCCCCGTTTACGGTCTACCAAGTGAGCAGACGGTAGGAAGGAGAGATGAGGCCGAGAAACCCCTAGGCCCCGATCCTATGTCAACTATTTTCAATGGAGTCACCGTGCCCCCTATGAAGGAACTTCGGGGACCAGATTTTGAGGAAAGCATAAAAGAGGATTACTGGTGCGTTTCGCTCTAAAGCAAACCTACACTCTCGCCAGACTGTGCCAGCTAACCAGTTCCTTTCCTCGTTGATAGGTTTGTAAAGCATTATCATCCCGATTGCGGGCACTGCAAAGCTGTTGCGCCAATCTGGCAAACGCTATATGAATTTTATTATGTTGGTGTTCCTTCTCGCCTTATCTCCTCTCCCTCTTGCATGGAACTAACCCCTGGCCCCAGACCTCCAACCCATTATTATCAACTACCGCGAAGAAAGCAGCCGATAACGAAAATTCATTGAACTCATTCCATGGTTACTATGGATTTCACTTCGCATCCTTGAACTGTGCCGCATACGCCGATAAATGTAAGGAGCTTGGTATCGTCGGTTACCCGAGATTTGTTCTCTACCACAAAGGAAAACCATTCGACACATTCTCGAAGGAAAATAAAGGGATGCAGGAACTTAGCAGTTTCATTGAAGAAAAACTAGAAATGATCAAACCAGGTTCTAGACCTCCTGGAGGGGTAAACCTCCCCAAGCCGGGCGATAAGGAGGGACAGATGATCCTACCGGATAAAGACAAGGCAGATGGGAACTCTGAACCCGAAAAGCCAACTAAGGGCAATAGCAAGGTCCCTTCAAAGGGATCAGATGATTCGAAGGGCTCAAAAGACACCAAGACCTCCAAAGATCCTAAGGACTCCAAGAATCGAAAGGGCGATAAGAGTCCTGTTCAAGTCCCTGCCCCCAAGAAGGAAGTCAAGGAGAAGAAGTATAATCTCTCAGGATCATCTGTTTCTTTGACTGCAGAATCATTCCTGAAACTTGTCACTACCACTCAAGATCCATGGTTTATCAAGTTCTATGCCCCTTGGTGTAGCCACTGCCAGGCACTTGCTCCTGTGTGGCAGCAAATGGCTAAGGACATGAATGGGAAGCTAAACGTTGGCGAGGTTAATTGTGAAGCGGAACGACGTCTATGCAAAGAAGCACGAATTTCCTCATACCCGACAATGCATTTCTTCCGTGGAGGTGAGAAAGTCCAATATGAAGGCCTACGCGGGCTGGGTGACCTGGTTAATTACGCCAACAAGGCAACCGATGTAGTGGGCCTCGGTGTCCAATACGTCGACGCAGAAGCTTTCAAGAAGATGGAGGAAACTGAGGAGGTCATCTTCCTCTATTTCTTCGACCATGCCACAACTTCTGAAGACTTTGCTGCTCTTGATAGACTCACCCTCAGCTTAGTAGGACGTGCCCGACTAGTGAAGACTGATAGCAAGGAGCTTGCTGAGCGATTCAGAATCTCTACATGGCCCCGTCTCCTCGTGGCCAGGGATGGAACCGCCAAATATTATACCGCTTTGGCCCCAAGAGATATGAGAGACTTCCGCGCTGTTCTGTCTTGGATGCAGAGTGTTTGGCTCCCTATCGTGCCAGAATTGACAGCTACCAATGCCCGCGATGTCATGGATGGTAAATATGTTGTTCTCGGAATCCTCAACAGACAGCATAACGAAGACTTCGTCCAAAACAAACGTGAGCTCAAGAACGCAGCATTGGAATGGATGGAAAAACAGACCAAGCTATTCCAGCTAGAGCGTCAGGAACTACGAGATGCTAAAGACCTCCGGATTGAAGAAGCCGATGATCGTAATGACCAGCGCGCCCTGCGAGCTGCCAAGAGCATGCGCATCACAATCCGTGAGGATGATAAGAAACAGGTCGGGTTCGCTTGGGTTGATGGAATTTTCTGGGACCGATGGGTCAAAACTACCTTTGGCGTCGATGTGAAGAACGGAGACAGAATTATTATCCACGACGAATCGGTGAGTACTAGACAGCCAAGATTACATGAATTGACCTACGATATGCCATTACTAACCTTAAACCTAATAGAACCGTCGCTACTGGGACTCGTCTCCAAACGGTGTTGATATCATGCCCAGCCGTACTTCTATCCTCGAAACACTCACTCACATTGCCGCTTCTTCTCCGAAGCTCAAGTCCAAGTCCACTGTTGGCTTCTTTGAGCACATCTTTTTCACTACTCGTACCTTTGTCAGCTCACATCCTTTCATCACTCTTGCATTGTGCATTGTCACCATTGCCATCGCTTCTCTGTGGGCTAAGCGTCAAATCCGCCGAACAAGAACCGTGACCGGAAAACTCGGAGGCTCTTCCATGGGTTTCTTCCACCTAGATGGAAAGGAGAAAGGGCTCTTTAGCTCCGTTGGGTCTGGTCCAAGTAACGGAAAAGTCGATTAAACGAATGCGTCAGGGCTCTCTTCGTATTGTCCTTCATTCGATTTAACAAATAATATTATTCTTGTTGTAATATTCTTTGGACCCCAGGGTTCGACTGATGCTTGATTATCCCGTTTTCCTGTTCTTTCTGCTCTTTTTTGCTACTAGGGGTGTTCTTTTCTGTTTCTTCTTTTCCCAGTTGCTATCATATCACACCTATATACCTGGCTAGCCCACTTTCTTCCTTGAGCAGGTTCCTATATTCCCTATCATAACGAACCAAAACGGCGTTAGTATGAATGAAATTGCGTTAATAGACTACGTATGAAAAACCACTGAACTTCTTGGTATTTTAGAGTCTCTCAAAACAAAGAAAGCCTATCATAATCACTGATGACACTTACCTATAACCTCACCTGGTCCAACCCAATGGTTGTCCACTCATCCTCACTAATATCCTGGAAGTTCATCACGCGATTGCTCCCCTTTGGCCCATACCGGCCCTGCAATGCGCCCCAGTCCCGTCCTACTGCAGTCTCGGGTCTCCACCGGAAAGCCTTCGCCAGTCTGGGGTCTAACTTTGACTCGATGACATCTACGATGAAGGAGCCAATGGACGGGATATGTGCAAATCCATGGCCAGAACCACCCACGCCCAGCACCAAATCTCGATGCTCAGGATGAGTGCTGATGAGGAATTTACGATCCGGGGTATCGGCACCTAGGAGAGTAGTTAATAATTTAACTGTAGTAAGGCAAACAGTAAAGTAAGAGAAACATACACCAGCATATCCGTGCAAAACTCAGCGGTCTGCTGGCTAAATGTGGCATCGTTTCCTTCAAGAACTGACGCACTCGCTGCTCAGACTCCAGTGGAATCTGCTGCCTCGCAAATGGCCTGCTCTTGAGTTTTCCTGCTTCCGTGACCCAGTTGCAGTATCCAGGATGCTCGTCACATATCTTTAGCTCATGTTTATCTTCATCAGGCTCCATGAAGAATCCTCGTTCAACATTGAAGAGAACAGGTAAATCTTTGTAGAGTTGGGCCTCCTCGGGCGTCATTTTGATATGTGCCAGGGTCCAAGCAGTAGGCCTCAACTGGTGCTTCATATCGAGGAGATTCTCAGCGGCGGCTCCGGCACACAGAATCGTCTTTGCTCCCAGGTGGACACGACCATCTTCCGTACGCACTCCCCTGACAGCTTTACCATCTGCATAGACAAGCTCTCTTGCATCACCAGCAGGCCCAGAAATGAACGTAACTCCCAGTCTAGCAGCCTCCCTAGCGGCACTCTCCATGCTCTTGCGCGCAGCCACCCACCCAGCCCCATCCTTCTTCCACCAACCCTTCCACCCAGGAAAGTCCCCCGTCAATACACCCTGGGGCATCGTTTCACGGAACTCCTGTCCCGTAGAGCGTGGTATCCAGCCATTTGCAGATGTCATTCCACCGCCGGAGGAAATGTCTTCTCTTGCAGCCTCCGAAGTAGCTGCGATAATAGCTCCGGTGTCATGGTAATAAGGCTGGAAGACTGGATCATTTTTCCATCCGCTCACCGTTGCCTGTGCGATAGTCTTCGAGACATAGTCTCCAACAGGGGAGGAGTCAAGTTCAAGGAATTTGTTCACATCATTTCCAGCAGATATAGGAGATGGAACTGGGTATTTATCTAAGACTTTGATATTTGTGTAGCCTCTGCGGACAAGATGGAGGGCGGTGCTGATACCCCAGGTTCCAGCACCGATAATGACGATATGGGAGTCTTTTGCTAGTTGAGACATTGCAGATTGAAATTATTAATCAATCATATGCCTCTAAAGTGCAGTACAGATGTGTCTTATAGATATTTATGGTATAGCTAGTTCATTGCTGGCATAACCGTATCCAACGAGTTTGATGACCAGGCTCTATGCACCTGGATAGAAATCCCTGCGATTGCGGGGAAGGGCGTGGGGGTAATTGGATTTTATTATCCAGGGAAGATGGAGTGTCAGATAAATATTCTGCGGTAGCAGTTTGGCAGAACTCCGCTGGCGATAAGTAGTTGTTAGTTACTTGAAGATTATATTGATGTAAGATACCGATGATGGCCTACGATAACGATTTAGATGTTCCTGGGACCGAGCGGCTTTTTAACGGCAAGTCCTCTATGCATGTATGGTCACTAGTCGCATTAATCTAAAGTAAATAACACAGTCGATGGGGAACAACTGAATGGCCATGCTCAGGATGAGATCATCTTGATTCCCAAACCAACGACCGAAGGCAGTGATCCGTTAATGTGGCCGATGTCAAAGAAATCATGGCAACTGTTTCTGCTCTGTATGTTGCATTGCTCAACACCCCTTATACATCGAACTTCGTATCAACGTCATATTAATAGGTCTATATGCATGCACATTCTCATATGGAGAGAACATGCTCGGAGCAGCATGGACAACCGTCTCGCGAGAAGCTGAGATATCCCTTGAAAATATGAACGGCGGTTCAGCACTAAACTACCTGCTTCTTGGACTGGTCAATATCTTCTGGGTGCCAATTGGGATGAAACTTGGCCGTCGCCCTGTCTTTCTAATCACGACAACCATCTGCATGTTGACTGCTGCCTGGCTGGGCTATGTTCACGGAACGGCTCAGTGGATGACCAACCTGGCCATCAACGGGTTTGGAGTTGCTGCATACCAGGCAGTCATCCAACTGAGTGTTTTCGACATGTTCTTTGCCCATCAAAGAGGGAGGACTTTATCCTTTTATCTCTTTGGCCAGCAGCTCGGCTCTATTCTGGGTATTGTTTCTTTCACCCTCCGTGGACAATCAGTCTGATGACTGACTGACAAAGGTTAACCAGGGCCCATCACCGGAGGTATCATCTCAGACGGACCAGGGTGGAGATGGACCCAATGGATCTGTTCCATGATCTTCGCTGTCGTCCTGATCTTGCTATTCACCACCTTTGAAGAGACGCTCTTCCCACGTTTTTTGTTCGAACAGGACCAAAATGACCCAGGCACCTCCCACAAGAAGCATATTGACACGAAAGCATCCCTGCACGAGGTCGATAGCACCTCAGAAGCGTCCTACCATTTCCCCAAACGGACTTACCGCCAACGCCTGAAGCCATGGGTCCACTTCCCACAAGACAAAACAACGTACTGGCAGTACTTCAGGCGCCCGTTCATGCTCTTCCTCTTCCCCAACATCATCATTGCAGGCGTCATATTTGCCTTTGGCTGCACGGCAGGCATAGTCTCGTTCGGCACCATTTCCCGCATCACCTCCGAACCACCGTATAACTGGTCCACCACCTCCACGGGCCTTATCTACCTGGCCGCTCTGGCGGGTAATATTGCTGGGTGGGCAACAGGTATGTCCAGTGACTTTATCGTCATGCGCCTTGCACGCCACAACCACGGTATCAAGGAGACGGAAATGCGTCTGTGGACGTTATGCGTTTCCTTCGTCTACGCTGCTGTCGGCTACATGCTTTATGGATGGGGAGCGCATTTTGGCATGCATTGGATCGCCATTGCAATAGGCCTGGGCTGAATGATTGCGCACCAGGTATCTGCCTGCTCTGTAGCCACTGCATATGCCATGGAGTGTTTCCCGGGAATATCTGGGGAGTTAGTAGTGGTTCTCTCGATATGTTCATCTGTGATCAACTTCCCACTCTCCTTCACGGTGCAGCAAGTTGTCGATACGATGGGGTTTGGATATGCGTTTGTGTTTTATGGGTTCTGCGTGCTGGCGTCCATGGCCGCCGCGATCCCCGCGGTCATGTATGGAAAGTCATGGCGTCGTCGAGCTGCTCCGAAATGGCAAAAATGGCTTGCCGAAAGAGGCCGCGTCGACTAACTTGCCCCTTGCCTGGTGGGTGTACTTTTCAAACGAGATGCTTTGCAAATACTCCGTATGTACTTCGCGAGTATGATTCTTCTATCAGGATCAACGACGTCAGCGACTTTGGCGTCTCGAGGTCGCGGCGATTCTATTGGATTGTGGGGAAATTAAGGTTGCTTACTGTAAATATTCCATGCTCATTGGTCTGTGCCTGAAATTATGACGACAGTGACTGGATGACGCGTTACCTTACATAATATTGGACCAATGAAAATTTTTCAAAGTATCAATATAAAATGTTACTTGACCAACCATCCTTCCTTCTTCTCGGACTCCACTTCCATGCATCTCCATTATTGCCTAATTAGGAAATGATTTACCTGCATCAACATCTACAACATCTACTTATATCAACACCTACATCTATATCAACATCGACATTCTTCATATACATTGGCGGTCTTCTATATAAAAGGCATGGACGCAGAGCGTACTCAGAATCTCACGGATGAGAAAGATCTCGTGTTGAGCGGAAGAGCGTCTTTGGAAGCAGTACGAGCAGCACGCAGACAGGCCGAGTATGGCTCTGACAAGTACTGGAAGACGCTGAGGGATGTGCTCGAAAAATCAGCAGAACTGACTGAACAGGCATGGAACCTAAGAGAAAGATTACTAACCCTCCATCACTACCCTCAGGGGGGCCAGCATGCCTATAGACAGAGCGACAGCGCATTCGTTTATCATAAGGAGCGTCTAGATGCGCTGCTTCAGATCATCGATAAGAGACAACTAACACATAGCGCGAGGAAAGAGATGTCACCGGCTCTAAAACCGGACATCAGCCCCATCGCACAAAGACTTTTCATTGAGCGGGTAGTAAACACCAGGGATGAACCAAAATGTCCACGCCGGTCGTTTGTGACGGATATCAGGGTGGCCTACGGTAAAGCCACGGTCATGGGACGATGGACAAGCTGGTGCTGGTGTACAATAAGGGATAGACAGGTCCCGCCCACCGACCTGAGAGCGGTGGAAATCTTCCCGCACTCGCTGGGTCAGCAGTGGATGACCTTCATTTTTGGGCCAGAAGCAAGGGGACAACTATACACTGTTGCTAATGGCCTCCTGCTGCCACCAAATCTGGCTGAGCAGTTCAATCAGTATCGAGTCACGTTAGCACCCACCAACCATAGGTGGAACGACAACAATGATCCATGGACCTGGAAACTCGTGATAGTTGACCGGAAGGGCCTCTGGAACGAGATCATGGACTGCGGAATGCGCTATAGTGAACTTCATAATAGAAGTATACCCTTTCAAGATGTGGTGCGCCCCAACGGCAAGTTTTTGTTTTTCCACTACCTATGTGCGATGCTGCTTCAGGCACGCCGAGACGCGGAATATGGTGCCATGCTCAACGAATCGGGCTTAGAGGACGCCTGGACGGACGAGGGGAGAGTGCACAGTGGCCCCTATATCAGGGACACGGTGTTGGGAGGCATTGTCGAGCAGTTTCATGAGTTTGGTGTCTCGCAGACCTTCAGAACGAAAATCATGGCGCACTCCAGGCCCACGGATGACACGGAGGAGGAGGCCGTGAACGTGCTGGTCAGCATTGACCCCCAAGCTGAGATGGCCGAGGACAGTGAGAGTGAGGAGGAGGCGACCGAGTGTGTGGACGAGATGATCGAAGAGTTTTTGGGAAACGAAGCATGAGAACCCAGACAACGGGAGTGAGTTCTATGGGTGAATGTCTGTTGTGATATAGCTAACTAGCTTTCCTGGTAACTCACCAGAGCTCGACAGCTACCCCTGGGTGCTTAACTTAAGTATGTAGAGCCAGCTCCATAGCTATGATATCATCATTACCAGAGTGGGCTTCCACACTTCCCGTCTACCCCGTCGCCATGCATGTAAACCAGCTAGCGCACCAGCTTTAATGCTCGACTAACGAAGCCTGTCCATGCGCATCTTTGTGGCTGAAGAAACCGAACGTGTCGCCACTCGCATGCATCAGGGCTCCTGCTGGGCTCGAGCTGGGCTCTTCCTGCTTGCTTCTTTCTTTACCTGCCACGCTGCTCATCGCTGCTCTGCTACGATCGCTTCGCAGCTGGCCAGTCACAGCCAGCCAGGATCATCAGAGCTCGTATCAGATACAGAGCAGAGAAAAAGCAAAGGGGCGGGCACTCGACACTCCATACCCTCTGTAGCAGTACTCCGTAGTGTTGCCAAACTGTGGCGGGCCATGTCCCAGGTCCTTGTCCATGTCCTGGGTCTCCTGGGGTCGAATGAAGCTAGCAAAGCTGCCTGCCCAGGTCTGTCCCGTTCGACCAAGCATGCGACAGGTCTCTCTGCGGGCTTTCGCTGGTCTTCCTCTTTCTTGCGCTGTCTCCGTCTCCGTCTGTCGCTGTCTCTTCTCTGCCGCTGCGGGTCGCCAGCAGCGCCACAGCTGGTTGATATTAACTGACTGCAGTTCACTGTCCCAAGCTGCCTGCTCTCTGTTGGCCGTTTCTCTCCTACTTAAAGAGACTCCCACGCTCTCCTCGTTCCTCCTATATGCAAATAGTTCCTCCTGCGCTGTACCCACGTCCTCTACTAGCCTGCCAAGTTGCACTGCCACGATCGAGATCACAGTCGGGCCGTCCAAGAGGAACTACTGGGGGATAGCGAGCCAGTCAGTTAGCGACGTCTTGACCACCTCCATCATCACCAGCAGCAGCCAGCACCGTCGCCAGGCCATCGCCAGCACCTCTCCGCTCCAGGGTTGATACCGGCGACCCGCTGGCCCTCCGACCCTTGGTTCAACCGCAATTCCACTTGCTGGCTCGTTGCTTGTCTCGATTATTCATCAGCGTCTCCTGTCGAACTAAGGCTCCGTCTGACGTCTTTTTGCTCTGCTTTTTTGCCTTGGGACGGGATGGGTACGTTTCGCCCTTTGCTCCGTCCCTTTTTTTCTCCCTCCCACTCTTCCGCTTCTCCCGCTTCTTTCACCTCTTGATTCATCGTCCTGCTCTTCTGCCTCGTCGTCTTGACCATCGCTGTCTCTTCCATCGCTTGGTCCGCTGTGCTCTATATATATTGAGGCTCGACTGAGGCTGACCCCAAAGCTAGCTCCAACCACTATAAAAGCGCAGTTCCATCGGGTCGGGTCGTCCTTCTCGACCTACCGCAGCTCCTCAGGCGCAATGCCCAACGACGCCGATGCTGGCTTCACCAACGGCCACTCCAACGAGCGGACTGGCCTGCTCAACGGAGACAGCGGCCGTCATGGCGGCGGCAGCCAGCGCTGGTCTCGCCGCGACGACCGGTTCTGGGTCTGGATCCCCTGCGAGGCCGGCCACTTGACCTATGCCACTCTCGCCAGCAACTATATCAACATCCTGCTCGTCTTCGTGCCCCTCGGCCTGCTCTCAGGCTTCCTGAAATGGTCTGCCACGGCCACCTTCGTGCTCAATTTCATTGCGATCATGCCCCTGGCCTCTCTCCTCAGCTTTGCGACAGAGGAGCTGGCTTCCACCCTGGGAGAGACGCTCGGCGGGCTGCTCAATGCCACCTTTGGAAATGCCGTCGAGCTCATCGTATGTCCTGATTTCCCTTATCGTCCCTCTCTTTACC